TATTTTACGTTTCGATTTTTCGTTCAGTTTTTTCGTCTCCGATTTTTGGATTTTTCAATTCTGAATTTTTCGTTTTTACAATTTTTCGAATTTACAATTTTCGAATTTTCTATTTTTCAAATGCATATACTATTCAATCAATCAATCAATCAATCAATCAATCAATCAATCAATCAATCAATCAATCAATCAATCAATCAATCAATCAATCAATCAATCAATCAATCAATCAATCAATCAATCAATCAATACTTTATTGGTGTTAAAAACTTACAAATACAGTTTTAGACAAGTCAAATATTCACAGAATATTCAATTTTTCCTTTTATCGATTATTTGATTCATCGAATGTTCGTTTTTTCGGTTTTTGATTTCTCGATTTTCGGTTCTTTGAATTTTGATATTCGATTTTTCGGTTTTTGATTTTTATTTTTGCCATTTTTCGCTTTTTAGACTTTTTGATGTTTCGATTTTTCTATTTTAGATTTTTCGTTTTTTTGATATCTCGATTTTCGACTTTGCTATTCAATTTTCGAGTGTTCGATTTTTTGATTTTTCAATTGTTAAATTCTCTCAGTTTTTCGAATTTTCCATTTTTCGATGTTCAAATTTTCTGTTATTTTACTTTTCAATTTTTCGTCTCCGATTTTTTGATTTTTCAATTTTCGAATATTTAATTCATCCAATTTTCGATTTTCCGATTTTTCAATTTTTCGACTTTACAATTTTAAAATTTTCGATTTTTTAAATATATTTTTTCCTTTTTCCAATAATTTGATTCACAGAATTTTCGATATTTCGAATTTTTCGGTTTTTCGATTTTTCGAATTTTCAGTTTTTCGATTTTTCCATTATTTGACTCATTGAATTTTCGATTTCTCGATTTTCGGTTCTTCGACGTTTTGATTTTCGATTTTTCAGTTTCTAATTTTCTATTTTTTCCATTTTTCGGTTTCTAGACTTTAAAATTTTTACTTTTCGATCTTTCAATTTGTCTAACTTCGATTTTCGATTTTTCGGTTTTTCGACACCTCGATATTCGACTGCGATTCAATTTATCGAGTTTTCGATTTTTTGGTTTTTCAATTTTTAGATTCCTTCAGTTTTTGGAATTTTCCATTTTTCGATCTTCAAATTTTCAATTATGCATTTTACTTTTCGATTTTTCAATTTTGAATTTTTCGTTTTGTCAATTTTTCGACTTTCCGATTTTCGAATTTTCGATTTTTCAAATATATTATTCACACAATCTTCATTTTTTCCTTTTTTCGATATTTGATTCATTGAATTTTCGTTTTTTCGGTTTTTGATTTCTCGATTTTCGGTTCTTCCATTTTTTGATATTCGATTTTGCGGTTTTTCATTTTTATTTTTTCCATTTTTCGATTTTTAGACTTTTAAATTTTTACTTTTCGATGTTTCGCTTTTTCTAATTTCGATTTTTGAGTTTTCAGTTGTTAAATTCTTTCAGTTTTTGAATTTTCGATTTTTCGATGTTCAAATTTTCAATTATTTTTCTTTTAAAATTTTACGTTCAGTTTTTTCGATTTTTCGGTTTCCTACTTTTCCGATTTTTGGATTTCGATTATTCGAATATTTAATTCATCGAATTCTGGATTTTCCGATTTTTCAATTTTTCGGGTTTACAATTTTCAAATTTTCGATTTTTCAAATAAATGATTCACAGAATGTTTAATTTTTCCCTTTTTCGATTATTTGATTCACAGTATTTTTGATCTTCTGAATTTTTCGATTTTTCGATCTTTCCAATTTTCAAATTTTTCGATTTTTCTATTTTCGAATTTTCGATTATATGATTAATTTAATTTTATTTTCAATTTATGGATTTTTCAATTTTTCTTCTCCGATTTTTCGAATTTTCCATTTTCGAATTTTCGTTTCTCGATAGTTTGATTCATAGTCTTCCGAATTTTTAATTTTTCGGTTTTTCGATTTACGAATTTTCAATTTCTCGATTTTTCGGATATTTGATCAATTGAATTTTAGATTTTTCGGTTTTTGATTTCTCGATTTTTGATTCTTCAACTTTTTGATTTTCGATTTTGCGGTTTTTCATTTATGTTTTTCCCATGTTTCGGTTTTTAGACTTAAATTTTTACTTTTCGATGTTTCGATTTTTCTAATTTCGATTTTTGAGTTTGCAGTTGTTAAGTTCTTTCAGTTTTTCGAATTTTCGATGTTCAAATTTTCAAATATTTTTCTTTTCGATTTTTCGTTCAGTTTTTTCAATTTTTCGTCTCCGATTTTTCGGTTTCCTACTTTTCCGATTTTTGGATTTCGATTTTTCGAATATTTAATTCATCAAATTTTCGATTTTCCGATTTTTTAATTTTTCGACTTTACAATTTTCAGATTTTCGATTTTTCAAAAAATATATGATTCATAAAATACTTAATTTTTCCCTTTTCCGATTATTTCATTTACAGTAATCGTGATCTTCTGAATTTTTCGGTTTTTCGATCTTTCGAATTTTCAAATTTTTCGATTTTTCAATTTTCGAATTTTCCGTTTTTTGTTTATATGATTCATTTAATTTTATGTTCGATGTATCAATTTTTCAATTTTTCATCTCCGATTTTTCGAATTTTCATTTTTCGATAGTTTGATTCATAGTCCTCCGAATTTACGAATTTTTCGGTTTTTTTGAGTTTTCAGTTGTTAAATTTTTTCAGTTTTTCGAATTTTCGATTTCTCGATGTTCAAATTTTCAATTATTTTACTTTTAGATTTTTCGTTCAGTTTTTTCAATTTTTCGTCTCCGATTTTTCGGGTTCCTACTTTTCCGATTTTTGGATTTCGATTTTTTGAATATTTAATTAATCGAATTTTCGATCTTCCGATTTTTCAGTTTTTCGACTTTACAATTTTCAAATTTTCGATTTTTCAAATATATGATTCATAGAATCTTTAATTTTTCCCTTTTCCGATTATTTGATTCACAGTATTTTTGATCTTCTGAATTTTTAGGTTTTTCGATCTTCCGAATTTTCGAATTTTTCGATTTTTTAATTTTCGAATTTTCTGTTTTTCGATTTTATGATTCATTTAATTTTATATTCGATTTATCTATTTTTCAACTTTTCATCTCCGAATTTTTCGAATTTTCCATTTACGAATTTTCAGTTTCTCGATTTTTCGGTTATTTGATTAATTGAGTTTTAGATTTTTCGGTTTTTGATTTCTCGATTTTCGATTCTTCAACTTTTTGATTTTCGATTTTGCGGTTTTTCATTTTTTTCCCCATTTTTCGGTTTTTAGACTTTTTTAATTTTTACTTTTCGCTGTTTCGATTTTTCTAATTTCGATTTTGAGTTTTTAGTTGTTAAATTCTTTTAGTTTTTCGATGTTCAAATTTTCAGTTATTTTACTCTTAGATTTTTCGTTCAGTTTTTTCAATTTTTCGTCTCCGATTTTTCGGTTTCCTACTTTTCCGATTTTTTTATTTCGATTTTTCGAATATTTAATTCATCGAATTTTCGATTTTCCGATTTTTCAACTTTACAATTTTCAAATTTTCCATTTTTCAAATATATCATTCATAGAAGCTTTAATTTTTCCCTTTTCTGATTATTTGATTCACAGTATTTTTGATCGTCTGAATTTTTCAGTTTTTCGATCTTTCGAATTTTCGAATTACGAATTTTCCCTTTTTTGATTATATGATTCATTTGATGTTATTTTCAATTTATCGATTTTTCAATTTTTCATCTCCGATTTTTCGAATTTTCCATTTTCGAATTTTCAGTTCCTCGATTTTTCGGTTATTTGATTAATTGAATTTTAGATTTTTCGGTTTTTGATTTCTCGATTTTCGATTCTTGGACTTTTTGATTTTCGATTTTGCTTTTTAATTAAAACAAGTTTGAAAAATCTTGAGACGACTTTCAGGAAAAATTACCACTTTTTAAGATATGTGTGGTTATTTTTTAGGTTTTCTAACCTCTGAACTACGTATTTTCACTCCGTTTATATTTTATTTCTTTTTCTGTTTTTTTTTTAATATATTTTACAATTTTATTGAAGTTCTAACATTGTTTGTCTAACTTTCTAATTTTTATGTTTTACCAGCCAGATTACCAATTCAAGTTACTAATTTTTTTTGCAGAGATCAATAAAATAAATTATGTCAGATCAAAGCGGGCGTTGACATTTGCCGCCTTGTCGAAACAGGAACTATAATTCAATCAGAATGACGTTTTAGGTGTCATTTTATAACAGATAGCGAATGCTGCTGAAGAAATGAGCGGCAAATTTAAATAAATTGAGACTTCCAAGTTGTTTTCAGGTTTTTCAGGAACTTATCGGTAGTTCAAATTTGACGAAAAAACTTTTGCATGAAATTTCAAATTTCATTTTTTTGCTACCAGCTTAGTGGTGTAAAAATACCTAGAGGAGCTTTATTTGGTATCAAACTAATTCACCAATTATCGAAGAGACAATATATACACGAGTTCTCGTGATGGTAGTGAAGATAGAAGTACATATAAAAATTAGAATAACTCCATTTCTTGTCCGACTACGCGATAACAATCCCAAGAAACATTCCAGTTGCCTCTCGAACAATTCCTATAAAATTCCTCTCTCTGCCCTCGTCCATCGCCTCGCTCTTCCGCACGTCCTCGAGTAAATTTCACGATTTCCACCTCGTTAACGCGTAAATAAACAAGTCGAAGCTCCGGCAAGCCGCAAAAAGAAAACTCCGGCAAATATATTAGCATGCGAGCGTGCAGCTGCGCGAAATAGAAGCCTACTCCTAGTTCTTTATTTCCTAACAGGGCCGCCTTATAAATAAGACATTATCTCGGTTCTTTTAAGTGCCGTTCGCAGGCGAGACGCGAGTCGTTGCTCCTTTTTTCTTCCACCATTTCATCTCATTTAAATGCCGGTACAGTCGGACGGAAAGTTCTCCCCGCACGCAATTACCACGAAACGGGCCATAAATCTCGGCCACCTGTAATTAACCCGAGTGAAAGGCACACTAAAACGGAATTTTTTTATTGTCTATATAAATGATGGTACAATAAGTTAATATAAATGTGCTATGCAAATGTAACAATAACTCCTTAAGTCGCTATGGTATACGTATGAAGTCCCTCTATGGTTCTAGCTATTCTTGAATGATATTGCAGCAACTTCGCGCAGGATATAGTGAGATTTTTTGATTGCTGGTTACTTCTTCTTCGGCGGCACCAGCTCGAACTTCCAGATGCGGTTCGGCCCGATCTCGCCCACGTACAGGGCCGAGCCGTTGGGGCACACGGCGATGGCGTGGGGCTGCCCGAAGCCCTGAAAAATGCGCAATTGAGACCAATAACAATTGTACATGTGTGGACTAAATGAGCGCTGTGTTTAAATTCGTGTTAACATGTTGACAATGTTTTAATTGTGGCTTTATTGCGGGGAGGTCGCAGCTGAAGGCAATAAATTTCCACAGGCCTCATTTATGTTTGTGACTTGTAAAGGGTGATTTAGGACGGGATCGTCTTCCCTTTGCGCTTAATTAGTGACACGTTTGTCGGCCGAAAACTTATGTATACAGGTGGTCTGATAAAAATGCGAGATTTATGGGGGCAGATTCCCGGAACCTGAAATACGACTTGTACCTCTTCGGGTGCCCAGTGATCAATGACGGATTCGGTTTGGACATCTATTGTGAGACCTTGGACAGGCAGTAGTTGCGATGTTGGTCCGTTTACGGCGTAAATAAGTTTTCCTGAAAAAATAAAAAAACTTGTAAAGTGTGAGTGAAAGCGCCTGGAAAGTAGGCAACTCTGTTTACACACGGAATTGCCAATACTCTCACGGATTACATATGTGTTTGCGTTTTATTTTAATTGTATAATGGTTTAAACGAAAAGTAAAATTTATTGAGATAAATTAATAAATTTGTTTATTAATATAGTGAAAATTGAAAAAAATAAAGGTTAACTGATGACGTGCCATTTAATTCCAGCTGACCTCGGTGTTCTAGCATCGCCTCCGTGGCGCAATCGGCTAGCGCGTTCGGCTGTTAACCGAAAGGTTGGTGGTTCGAGCCCACCCGGGGGCGCACTTTTTTTTTCTTTTTTTTATTTCACGATTATTTTATTCAATGCCCTATATATTTATTTATAATTGAATATTATTAATATGTAAATTGTTGCACTGAATTATGTAAAGAAATGGTCATCAAGTCATCAAGGAAAATTTATAAAACTATCCTTTTCTTACTTCGGTGAATCAAAACGATTATTTTGTTCGATGCCCTATTTATTTATATTTATTTAATTGATATTATTTATATGCAAATTGTTGCAGTAAATTATGTAAAGAAATGGTCATAGTAATCAAGGAAAATTTGTAAAACTTTCCTTCTTTTCTTACTTCGGTGAATCAAAATGATAAGATAAGACTAATTTTGGCAAATAACATATACTCTAAGAAAATAGAAGGCGGGTGGGCAGGGTTAGTATTTGCTAAGGGAAGACCGCACAATAATAAGGGTGGTCACTGGAGTGAAGAGGGGTCAGTGGGCGGGGCTTAATGGACTTTCAAGAAAAGCTAAACTCAGCTCCACCCACCTTTTTTCTTTCTTTCACTGACTTATTTTATTTACGGTCTAGTGGGAATTAAATTCTCACTTTTCGATTTTTCAGTTTTGACATCTTCAATTTTTCCAACTGCATTTTTTCAATTTTTCGTTTTTTTTGTTAGTATTTGCTAAAATAAAACTGATTTTGGCAAATAACATATCCTTTAAAACAGGAGAGGGCGGGTGGGCGGGCCTAGTATATGCTAAGGTAAGATTAATTTTAGCAAATCACATAGTCTCTAGAAAATGGAGGGCGGGTGGGCGGGGCTAGTGTTTGCTAAGGTAGGACTACACAATAATAAGAGGAGTCACTGGAATGAAGAGGGTGTCAGTGGGCGGGGCTACCACTTGCTTACAAGATTCTTAAGAAAGAGTTAAACTCAGCTCCGCCCACCTTTTTTCTCTATTTCACTGGCTTATTCTATTTACTGTATAGTGGGAATTGGATTCTATTTTGACAAGCGGTAAATTCTAAGTTTTAAAACAAAGTAAAAAGTGGCTTTTCCCACCCACCCCTTCCGTTTTGATGTGAAGAAAAAAAGTCCACGAGTTTAAAATTTTTAATTATTCACTTTTCGATTTTTCAATTTTTGACTTTTTTAATTTTTCGAACTGCATTTTTTCAATTTTTTATTTTTTGGTTAGTATTTACTAAGATAAAACTAATTTTGGCAAATAACATATCCTTTAAGAAAAGAGAGGGCGGGCCGGCGGACCTAGTACATGCTACGGTAACACTAATTTTGGCAAATGATATACACTCTAAGTATATAGAGGGCGGGTGGGCGGGCCTAGTCATTTTAAGATAAGACTAATTTTGGCACTCTAAGGAAATAGAGGGTGGCTGGGCGGGGCTAGTATTTGTTAAGACTGCATAATAAAAAGAGTAGTCACTGAAATGAAGAGGGTGTCAGTGGGCGGGGCTACTACTTGCTTATAAAACTTTTAAAAAAGAAGCTAAACTCAGCTCCGCCCATTTTTTTTCTCTATTTTATTCACTTATTTTATTTATTACTGTATAGTGGTAATTGAATTATATTTTGACAAGCGGTAGAATGTTATATTTAAAACAAAGTAAAAAGTGGCCCTCCCCACCCACCCCTATTCGGTTTTGATCATTCATTTTTAGTGGTTCTGAAGAAAAAATTTCACCAATTTAAAATTTTTATTTATTCACTTCTCGATTTTTGAATTTTTGACGGCTTCAATTTTTGGAACTTAATTTTTTCAATTTTTATTATTTTTTTATTAGTATTTGCTAAGATGAAACTGACTTTGGCAAATGAAATATCCTCTAAGAAAAGAGAGGGCGGGTGGGCGGGCCTAATTTATGCTAAGGTAAGACTAATTTTGGCAAATCACGTAGTTTCTAAGAAAATAGAGGGCGGATGGGCGGGACTAGTGTTTGCTAAGGTAAGACTACACAATAATAAGTGTAGTCACTGGAATGAAGAGAATGAATTTTTGGCGTCTTCAATTTTTGGAACTCAATTTTTTTAATTTTTATTTTTTTTTATTAGTATTTGCTAAGATGAAACTGACTTTGGCATATGACATATCACTTTGTTTTAAATCTTAGATTCTACGGCTTGTCAAAATAGAATTTAATTCTCACTGTACAGTAAATAAAATAAGTGAAATAGAGAAAAAAGGTGGGCGGAGCTGAGTACATTTTTTCTTAAGAGTCTACTAGGGAAGTAGTACCCTTGGCCACTGACACCCTCTTCATTCCAGTGACTACTTTTATTAGTATGCAATCTTACCTTAGCAAATACTAGCCCCACCCACCCGCCCTCTATTTTCTTAGAGTGTATGTCATCTGCCAAAGTTAGTCTTATCTTAGCATATACTAGGCCCGCCCACCCGCCCTCCCTTTTCTTAGAAGGTATGCCATTTGCCAAAATCGATCTTATCTTAGCAAACACTAACCCCACCCACCCGCCCTCTATTTTCTTAGAGTGAATGTGATTTGCCAAAATTAGTCTTATCTTAGCATATACTAGGCCCGCCCACCTGGCCTCTTTATTTTTAGAAGGTATGTTATTTGCCAAATTCGATCTTATCTTAGCAAGCACTAGCCCCGCCCACCCACCCTCTCTTTTCTTAGAGGATATATCGTTTGCCAAAATCAGTTTTATCTTAGCAAATACTACAAAAAAAAAAGAAAAATTGAAAAAAATGCAGCTCGAAAAATTGAAGACATCAAAAATTGAAAAATGGAAAAGTGACTAACTAAAAATTTAAAACTCGTGAAATTCTTTCTTCAGAGCCAATAAGAATGAATGATGAAAACGAAATAGGGGTGGCTGGAAAGGGTCACTTTTAGTTTGTTTTAAATCTTAGAGTCTACCATTTGTTAAAATAGAATTCAATTCCTATATACATTAAATAAAATAAGTCAGTGAAATAGAGAAAAAAGGTGGGCGGAGCTGTGTTTAGCTTTTTCTTATTAAATATTAGCCCCGCCCACCCGCCCTCTATTTTCTTAGAGTGTATGTCATTTGCCAAAATTAGTCTTATCTTAGCATGTACTAGCCCCACCCACCCGCCCTCTATTTTCTTAGAGTGTATGTCATTTGCCAAAGTTAGTCTTATCTTAGCATATACTAGGCCCGCCCACCCGCCCTTCCTTTTCTTAGAAGGTATGCCATTTGCCAAAATCGATCTTATCTTAGCAAACACTAGCCCCACCCACCCGCCCTCTATTTTCTTAGAGTGTATGTCATTTGCCAAAGTTAGTCTTATCTTAGCATATACTAGGCCCGCCCACCCGCCCTCCCTTTTCTTAGAAGGTATGCCATTTGCCAAAATCGATCTTATCTTAGCAAACACTAACCCCACCCACCCGCCCTCTATTTTCTTAGAGTGAATGTGATTTGCCAAAATTAGTCTTATCTTAGCATATACTAGGTCCGCCCACCTGGCCTCTCTATTTTTAGAAGGTATGTTATTTGCCAAATTCGATCTTATCTTAGCAAGTACTAGCCCCGCCCACCCACCCTCTCTTTTCTTAGAGGATATAACGTTTGCCAAAATCCGTTTTATCTTAGCAAATACTACAAAAAAAAAAGAAAAATTGAAAAAAAATGCAGCTCGAAAAATTGATGACATCAAAAATTGAAAAATGGAAAAGTGAATAACTAAAAATTTAAAACTTGTGAAATTATTTCTTCGGAGCCAATAAGAATGAATGATGAAAACGAAATAGGCGTGGCTGGAAAGGGTCAACTTTTAGTTTGTTTTAAATCTTAGAGTCTACCGTTTGTTAAAATAGAATTCAATTCCTATATACACTAAATAAAATAAGTCAGTGAAATAAAGAAAAAAGGTGGGCGGAGCTGTGTTTAGCTTTTTCTTATTAAATATTAGCCCCGCCCACCCGCCCTCTATTTTCTTAGAGTGTATGTGATTTGCCAAAATAAGTTTTAAGCAAATATTACCAAAAAAAAAAACAAAAATCGAAAAAATGCAGCGCGAAAAATTGAAGACGTCAAAAATTGAAAAATCGAAAAGTGAATAATTAAAAATTTAAAACTCCTGAAATTCTTTCTTCAGAGCCAATAAGAATGAATGCTTAAAACGGAATAGGGGTAGGTGGGAAGGGCCATCTTTTACTTAAATCTTAGATTCTACCGTTTGTCAAAATAGAATTGAATTGCCATATAGCGTAAATAAAATAAATCAGTGAAATACAGAAAAAAGGTGGGCGGAGCTGTGTTTAGCTTTTTCTTATGAAATATTAGCCCCACCCACCCGCCCTTTATTTTCTTAGAGTGTATGTCATATGCCAAAATTAGTCTTATCTTAGCATGTACTATGCCCGCCCACCCGCCCTCCCTTTTCTTAGAGGATATGTCATCTGCCAAAATCAGTTTTATCTTAGCAAAGACTAACAAAAAAAATTGAAAAAATGCAGTTCGAAAAATTGAATAATTCGTCTTATCTCATCAAATACTAATTATATGTTCTTCTGTAGAGTGAAAGCGGAAATTAATAGAACCTACGCTGTAAAAGAGGTAAAAAAGTGGTAATCGTAACTTTTTCTTGTACTACTTGCTGAAGTTTATTATTTCAGAAGAAAAAAAAAATAAAGAACGGGTGGGTGGGCGGGGCTAAGTTTAACTTTTTCCTGCATAGTCTCTTACAATATAAGCAAGCAACAGGCACACCCACTCACCCCCTCTTCATTCTGGTGACTACACTTAATACCAGGGCCGGGACGAGGGTGAGGCGAGAGAGGCACTCACCTCGGATGAACAAATTAGAGGGGCGCCCAATTGTCAAAAATATAAAAATATAAAGTGAAAGGGGTACCGGACGTTTTGACTTCACAACTCAAATGGGGGTATAAAAAATAGAATGAAATATCTTCCAATTTTCCGTTTCTTACTGACGAAAAATTAGTATCATTGTATATAGAAGATTTAAGAAAAGCAGCTTACGACTTAGCTCTTAAATATCCAAATGATATAAATGCTGTAGAAATATCATCAGAAATATTTAGCTTTAAGAACCAAGCAATTGCAATAATTCCGGATATTAGAGCAGCTATAGCTTTGGATCTTTTGAAAATAATTCACGAATACGGTTTAGTTCAATTGTATCCAAATTTGGAAGTCGCGTTAAGAATATTTTTAACTTTACCAGTTACTGTAGCTTCTGGAAAAATAAACTTCAGTAAATTCAAGATAAGTAAAAGTTATTTAAGACCTTCTCTCGGTCAGGAAAAATTGTCAAACATGGCAATTTTTTTCCAGTGGACAAGAATTATGTAATCCAATAGATTTTGAAAAAATAATTTATGTTTTTGCTTCATTAAAAGGAAAAAAAAATAAGTTGTACAATTTTTGGAAGTAATATAGTGGCGTATTTTTTGTTGAATATTACTCCTATTAAGTATTATTTACAAATTTTTCTATGTAATTTGCTATTATGAATTATATTGTATGTTTTTTTAACTTTTGATTCTGTTATCTGTTTATTTCTGATAACTTAAAATCAATAAATCCATTTAATTTTTCATGTTTATGCACATTTTTCAATTACCATTCTGGTTTTCTGTCCAGAAATTCAGAATACAGATCATCTGTAACGTATAGGTAAGTAGGTAAATATCTCGCAAACATGGGGGCGCGGATTTGGCTATCTGCCTCAGGTGAAAAAATATGTAGGCACGGCTCTGCTTAATACTGTTAATTAATTACAACAAAAAGTGGGGAAAGATGAAAGCGAAAATATGAAAGGAATTTAATTGGATATGAATAGAAGGAAAAAAAAAGTTTTTTTTTAAGAATGCGAATAACGAATATTTAACCTGACAAGGCTTTGTAAAATACGTTGCTTTGTCGCTGTGAGGATTTTTAAGCGATTATATGATCTATGACACACAAAATAAGGAAAAAACAGAAGACAATGGTGATTTTTTTTACAATATTTCTGTCACATTTTTTTGGTTGATTGAAGTGTTTTCAGGGACTTAGAGCATGCAATTTGATATAATAACACTTCTATAATATTGTGTTGGCAGCACTAGGTCAGATAACTGTCACTTAAAGCAGTGGTTCGCAAACTGGGTGCCGCGGCACACTAGGGTGCCGTGGATCCCCCAAGAGGGTGCCGCGAAAATTTTATAATGATGTTTATAAATATAAGCACAGAACCAACTTTAAAAAATAATAATTGATGATCTGATTTTATTAATATGGTACAACTGTTCAGTAATGGAAAATGTGTTCTGAACATGTTAATTTTCTTCATACTGAAGTAAGATGGCTAACAAATATTTATAAAACAATCTTAACATCAATTACATATTATACAAACATGTGATAAAGTGTTTTTGATAATAAATTAGTTACAATTAAAACTGTTCTTGGTGGGGTGCCGCCAAATTTTGTTTAAAATTTTAGGGTGTCATCAATAATAAAAGTTTGCGAACCACTGACTTAAAGTGTCAAATTGCCAACATAATTATTCTATATGATTTTTTTTCGTTCGTATGGTATTCGCATTTACCTTTGGCGGCGACTCCAAACACCCTCCCCATGTCAGGCTGCTGGATGGTGAGCGCCGGCTCCGCCTTCCCCTTGATACTGTACAAACCAGCCCTCGGGCACACCACCCTCATGTTCTCCCTATCCGCCACACACAACCTATCCATAGACTCCACCAGAGCAACCCCGTGTGGCACTTGCAAAGACAAAAACTCTAAAACCCAAATTTCAGAAAAATCACACAACTAATAAACCAGAGCCACCTGGCGGGTTAGGCATGACCCTCAAAAGCACCCCAGCCGCATTGAACTTCAAAATCCTGCTATTACAGTACCCATCCGCTATGAAAATCTCGCCCTCTGAAGCCACAGCGATCGAAGTGGGCATGCAGAGGTGGTTCTTGCTCGAGCCGGGGGTGAGGCGCTGCCCGAACGTCAAAACCGGGGAGAGCTCGCCCGGCTTAAACTAAAAAACGGTAAATTTTTGGGGTGAATTGGGGTGGTATTAGTACCTTGAAGGCTTGGTGCAGGGCAACATCTGTCACCCATAAGTTGTCGTGCCGGTCGATGGTCAAGCCATGGGGCATATAGAAGAGGTTTTCGCCCCATGTTCCCAGAACTTTCCCGGTTTGCGGCTCGAGGGTGAGGACGGTCGGCTCGGAAATTGGTCCCAAGTGGAGTTGTTGGAAATGGTTGGTTGAATTAAAAGTGCTGGAATTAGTTAGAGGTGGTTCCTGGGTTGTGGGTACTTACTATTGATCGAAAACGCGATCAGCTCGGTGGAATATTACTGGTTGGAATGCAGAATTCACGGAAACTCCTGACACTTGTCCTAGTTTGAGGGGCTCCTGAGGCCAGTTCTTCACAGCTCTTGGAATGTCAGGTTTGTCGGTATTGTCTTCGAGCGATTCTAGGGTTTGGACGTCTGGCTGCAAAATGAGGAAAAACGGTGGTACCTAATAAATTGCTCGAAAAAATCTATGTCAATTTTTAACGGTACTATCGTCAATAAAACAAACAAACTTATGTAATCATTTTTATTTATCTCTTCGACATTCATTAGCACATGGTACTACTTGCAGCGTTTACAAGAAAATTCATAAAAAAAAGCCACCACGTGTCAATTACCCACGCAACCGTAACCCGGAGTCAACAAAAACAAGTTCCGGAAAATCCGGGCCGGCGATTGGTCGTCACGCACCATATGGTTGATCACCAACGTGCGTCAGTGGAGATAACAAACCGGATAAAACGGTGACTGTAGACAGGAAAAAATCGACTGAACTCACCTGCAGACTACAGACTGTCACCACCACCACAAAAATCACCCCTATGGCCACCCCTGTCACTATATTTTGCGTCTTAATATTCATTGCATATAGTTCACATTTTGTCGACGTAGCTGGAGCGCTCGACCATGCGAAAGTTAAACGAACTCTGGTCGGGCTTCGGGAGTGGGATCGGGCGCCAGAGACGCCTTAAACCGTAAAGAAGTATATGAGGTATATGGTGTTGAAACACACTGTAGATTTTCCAGGAGTAGTTGATTAAAAAAAGGAACGAACATGATTGATCTAGATTAAATGAAAAGTTAAAAAAAAACGTGATATAGGCAACCAGTAATACAGTGATGAATCAGAAAATATTGAACCTTTTTGTCTCGACAGAATGGTATTGTACACATGTTTAGATTTATTACTATTATTAATTTCAGTTTTGCCGGCGACATTGGCGTTTTGCAAAAATTATGTTGTTTTTGGAATTTTGAAGACGCTATCAAGGAAAACAAAGCGTTGGAAAACATTGTGGATTTTTTGCCAAGAATTAGGATGTCTAGGGTGAGAATTGAGAACTCGACACGGATTCATGAATCACACATATAGGAGTATGCAATTGTATAAAATTAACCCACCCTCCTTTTTTTTAGAAGGTATGTCATTTGCCAAAATCAGTTTTAGACTCTAGAATTACTAGGACATCTTGATTCGCCGTAATAACTGTAATCTCTAGAATTTTTGAAATCTCTGGAAACTCTGAATCTCTAGATCCTATGGAATCTCTGGAATATTATTATTTCAAACCTTGGGAATTTTGGAATTTTTACAACCATTTTCAAGAATCCCTGACATTTTTGGATTTTCAGTAAATCTAGACAGAGATTCGAAAAATTTGTGGAATTTCGGAAATCTTTGGAATATTTAGAAAATCTGAAATCCCGAGCTTTTAGGATTATCTGCATTCTCCGAAATTTATATTACTTAGAAAACTTAGTATTAATAGAAATGTTAGAATCCTTTAGAATTTTTAGAAGCTTTGGAATCTTTAGAATTTATAGAATCTTCCTTCAGGATCTCTAGCATCCTTTGAATCTCTAGAATCGCTGGAATTTCTAATAACTCCGAGTCTCTAGAATCTTTAGAATCTTGAAAACCTCAGGAATCTTTGGAAACTTTACAACCAAATCGCTGAAACTTTTGGAATTTCTAGAATCCCGTAATTTTTTGGATTCTTTATAATTTCTAAAATTTACTGATCGTTTGATTTTTCTGGAACCTTTAAAATCTTTAGAAATTTTTGTTAGTGTCCATACAAACAACCAAAATAGGGAGAACGTAATGAAAGCAATTTATAAATTTTAGAAACTTTAGTGTCACTAAAATCTTTAAAATCCTTTAGAATCTTTGGAAGGCTTGGGATCTTTAGACCCTTTACAGTTTTTAGAATCGCTAGAATTTCTATAATCTTTAGAATCTCCCTTCCGAATCTCTAGAACCGGTGAAATAGCTAGCAAAAACTTGTACAACTTCTAGAGTGTCTAAATTCTCTAGAATCTCTAGACTACTAGAACCTTTTGAATCGCTATAATAACCGTAATCTCTAGAATTTTTGGAATTTCTGGAAACTCTGAAACTCTAGATTCTGTAGAATTTCTGGAATACTTAGATTATTTGAAACCTCGGAAATTTTGGAGTCTTTATCACCAATTTCAAGAATCCCTGACATTTTTGGATTTTCAGTAAATCCAGAGATTCCAAAAATTTCTGGAATTTTGGAAATCTTTGCAATATTTAGAATTTCTGAAATCCCGAGCTTTTTTGGATTCTTTGCTCTGAAATTTAGAATCCCTAGAAAACTTGGTATCATTAGGAACCTTAAAATTCTTTATAATTTTTGGAATCTTTAAAATCTATAGAATAGTCCTTCAGAATCTCTAGAATCGCTGGAATTTCTAATAACTCCAAGTCTCTAGAATCTTTAGAATCTTGAAAACCTCAGGAATCTTTGGAAACTTTACAACCAAATCGCTGAAACTTTTGGAATTTCTAGAATCCCGTAATTTTTTGGATTCTTTATAATTTCTAAAATTTACTGATCGTTTGATTTTTCTGGAACCTTTAAAATCTTTAGAAATTTTTGTTAGTTTCCATTCAAACAACCAAAATAGGGAGAACATAATGAAAGCAATTTATAAATTTTAAAAACCTTAGGATCTTTAGAAACTTTAGTGTCACTAAAATCTTTAAAATCCTTTAGAATCTTTGGAAGCCTTGGAATCTTTAGACCCGTTACAGTTTTTAGAATCGCTAGAATTTCTATAATCTTTAGAATCTCCCTTTCGAATCTCTAGAACCGGTGAAATAGCTAGCAAAAACTTGTACAACTTCTAGAGTGTCTAAATTCTCTAGAATCTCTAGAATACTAGAAACTTTTGAATCGCTATAATAACCGTAATCTCTAGAATTTTTGGAATTTATGGAAACTCTGAAACTCTAGATTCTGTAGAATCTCTGGAATACTTAGATTATTTGAAACGTAGGAAATTTTGGAATCTTTATAACCAAGTTCAAGAATCCCTGACATTTTTGGGTTTTCAGTGAATCCAGAGATTCCAAAAATTTCTGGAATTGTGGAAATCTTTGCAATATTTAGAATTTCTGAAATCCCGAGCTTTTTTGGATTCTTTGCTCTGAAGTTTAAAATCTCTAGAAAACTTGGTATCATTAGGAACCTTAAAATCCCTTATAATTTTTGGAATATTTAAAATCTATAGAATAGTCCTTCAGAATCTCTAGAATCGCTGGAATTTCTAATAACTCCGAGTCTCTAGAATCTTTAGAATCTTGAAAACCTCAGGAATCTTTGGAAACTTTACAACCAAATCGCTGAAACTTTTGGAATTTCTAGAATCCCGTAATTTTTTGGATTCTTTATAATTTCTAAAATTTACTGATCGTTTGATTTTTCTGGAACCTTTAAAATCTTTAGAAATTTTTGTTAGTCTCCATCCAAACAACCAAAATAGGGAGAACATAATGAAAGCAGTTTATAAATTTCAAAAACCTTAGGATCTTTAGAAACTTTAGTGTCACTAAAATCTTTAAAATCCTTTAGAATCTTTGGAAGCCTTGGAATCTTTAGACCCTTTACAGTTTTTAGAATCGCTAGAATTTCTATAATCTTTAGAATCTCCCTTCCAAATCTCTAGAACCGGTGAAATAGCTAGCAAAAACTTGTACAACTTCTAGAGTGTCTAAATTCCCTAGAATCTCTAGAATACTAGAACCTTTTGAATCGCTATAATAACCGTAATCTCTAGAATTTTTGGAATTTCTGGAAACTCTGAAACTCTAGATTCTGTAGAATGTCTGGAATACTTAGATTATTTGAAATCTCGGAAATTTTGGAATCTTTATAACCAATTTCAAGAATCCCTGACATTTTTGGATTTTCAGTAAATCCAGATTTTCCAAAAATTTCTGGAATTTTGGAAATCTTTGCAATATTTAGAATTTCTGAAATCCAGAGCTTTTGTGGATTCTTTGCTATGAAATTTAGAATCCCTAGAAAACTTGAAAAATAATTTTTGGAATCTTTAAAATCTATAGAATAGTCCTTCAGAATCTCTAGAATCGCTAGAATTTTTAATAACTCTAAGTCTCTGGAATCTTTAGAATCTTGAAAACCTCTGGGATCTTTGGAAACTTTATTCTTCTTAGAATCGCTGAAATTTTTAGAATATCAGTAAATCCAGAAATTCCAAGATTTTGTGAAATTTTGGAAATCTTTGGAATAGTTAGAATTTTTTGGTTTCTTTATTATTTCTAAAATTTACTGATATACTTTGATTTTTCTGGAACCTTTAAAATTTTCCGAATATTTGGAATTACTAAAAAAATCCTTTGAAACGTAACATCCTGTAGGACTTTAAATCTTCTTTGGTTGTGAAGATCTGGAATCTTTGAAATCTTTAGAAATTTTTGTTTGTTTTCATTCAAACAACCAGCAATAGGGACGAAAATAATGAAAGCAATTTCGAATTTTGGAAACTTTAGAATCTTTAGAAACCTTAGTATTACTAAAAACCTTAGAATCCTTTAGTCTTTGGAATCTTCACAATTTTTAGAGTCTGTAGAATCTCCAGAATTTCTAGCATCTTTTGAATCTCTAGAATCGCTGGAACAGCTAAATCCAAAAACTTCCGGAATGTCAAAATTCTCTAGAATTTCTGGGATTACTAGACCATCTTGAATCGCTACAATAACTGTAATCTCTAGAATTTTTGAAATCTCTGGAAACTCTGAAATTTTAGATTCTACAGAACCCCTAGAATTTTTAGATTATATGAAACCTCGGGAATTTTGGAACCTTTACAACCAATTTCGAGAATCCTGTGGAAATCTTTGAAATATTTAGAATTTCTGAAATCCCGAGCTTTTTTGGATTCTTTACATTCTCTGAAATTTATAATCCTTTAGAATTGTTAGACTGTTTGGAATCTTTAGAATTTCTAGCATCTTTTGAATCTCTGGAATCGCTGGAATTTCTAATAACTCAGACCCTCTGGAATCTTTAAAACCTCTAGGATCTTCGTATAGTACAGTAAAATCAGCAAATTACAAGAATTTGTGGAATTTTGGAAATCTTTGGAATGTTTAGAACTTCTGGAATCTCGGGATTTTTTGGTTTCTTTATCATTTCTGAAATTTATTTTGATTTTTCTTGAACCTTCAAAATTTTTGCAATATTTGGAATTACTGAAAAAAAAAAATTCTTTGAAATATAACATCCTGTAGAAATGACTTGAAGGTCTAAAATCTTTAAAATCTTTAGATTGAGGCCCCCGAGAAGGATTTACATTTAGAAAAAAAATAGTTAGGACCCCAGAGAAAGTTACACATTTTTGAAAAAGAAAGTTGGGACCCGCGAGAAGGTTTCACATTAAAAAAAGACAGTTGCTAAGATAAAACTGACTAATGTGTTTATAAACCACGCAGTATTATTTTATAAAATTGAAATAATATTTACTATGATAAATTTAGGAAATGAAGTTACCGTTTTACTACAATTTTTTTCGTAATCCACATATAAAATTTGACAATTGGTTCTCTAAAAAAATCCGGATAGACGGCAGACAGACAGACAAACGGAAACGGGAGACCCATTATTATTTCATACTTTAAACTGTAAAATGATTTTCCGGCCGCTCAATCCGACACTGCTCAAGTGAGTGAAAATGCGTGAAAATATGTGGGCGAAGTTAATTACACGATTTTCATGCGTCATCGATCGTAATTACTTGCGTGGAAATAATCACACTTGAAAACTTCGACACGTTGCTGCATTGGCTGTGACGTCACCCCAAACCCTCACTAATTTACAAGGTCGTTTTCCGGTCAGTTCCAGAAATCCACTTCTTTTATTTCGTTGAACAATCACCCCGATAAGCGATCGTAAGTAAGGCGCTAACAATACACAGGTGTATTGTGTGTTGCCTACATCACTCGCCGCCCGGAAGCGCAGTTCCGTTTCCGGGCGTGTGCCCGGACTGTGACTCACCTGCTGGTAGCCCTGGGTCAGCGACAGCAGCTGGCGCACCTCGTCGTAGAGCTCGGCGTTGGTTGGCCTCTGGAAGGGCCCCGCAAGGGCTCCGCCGAGGAGCACCAGGCCCAATACAGCGACGGTTGGGGTCGCCATGGCTCGACTGGTCGTTTTTGAATCAATACCAGGTTTCCCTGTCGGTGTTGCGCACGAAAACGCCACCACGAGATGAGTCTGGACGTGCTGGAAAACGTGATTTAGCGATTTTCACGGTCAAGGATGCGCTAATTCGAATCGATCGACAAGGTGCTGGACATGGGTGATGGGTGACTGTCAGGAGTGTCAAACTAGAAACCCAAATTTTTCGTGACATTCTTGTCATTGGGCTATTTTTGGAGGGTTGGGATGGTGGCGTGTTGGCGAGTTCCGTACTAAGCACAAGTGAACGGAAAATAGAAAAGAAAAGTTTGATGATTTGTTTGGTTTGAAATGTCAGCAGGAGATAGTATTTTTTGGGTTGGGGATGAACGTAGTTTATTTCGTTCGTGATGAGATTATAAAATCGCTTCTTCTGACTGACAATTCGGTAAGAATTGATTATTTACGTGTTTATGGTTTCCTTTGTTGTTTCACGTTCGTACGTGGAATATGAATTGTGTTTATAATAAAATTTATGTTGCTGAACTATCAAGCAATTTTATTTCTGTACCTGAAGCGGAATGAATGGAGAAATAGTACTTTCAAAACGTGAAATGTTGAAGTTTAATCGAAAACTGATCAAAGATATTTTTTCCTTACCGATTTTTCCGGAGAAATGCAACGTTTACCAGTTCCGCCAAGGCGCCGAATGAGGTTATAAAATTTCAACTAACCAATACCCGGCTCAGTGGTTGTTTTAATGTAACACGTCATCTGAGTCTGATATTAATTCGCGGAAATCATCACAGCGGAATTTCTCCCAAAACGTGGTTTAAATTACAACTAATTTCTCTAAATGCGGAAGTTGTAAACCGCCTTTTATTAGTTGGGCGAATTTTGTACTTCCAGACCAGTCAATTGTAAAACAATCATTTTTGCACAAAATATTAGCACATTTTTGGTAACACCACATAAATGGTCAACGCACTGGCAACTAGTTATCGCCTGTTTCTTGCACATTTTTATCGCAAGCCACAAAAACAAGTACAGGGACACTTTTAACATTTGGTGGGTTTTATTACAGTTTTATAAACTATCAGTAAAAATATGTTTTAGGACATTTTTCGCTTCGAGTTTTTCTAAAGAAAATTTCTATTCGGGGAATTAGAGCAACAAAAACTAAGAACAAACGATGATTAAAAGAAAACATTTGTTTGCGTGTTGGAGACGACATATTTTATTCAACATACCGAAATACATTTATCCATTATCATTGTTAATGAACGGACGAAATTTTCCCAGATATTTTTTTTAAATACATTTTCTATGACTGACATAATGATTCATGACTACGATTAATTGAGTGAGATACCAGACAAATTAGAGGTAGATGACATTTAACTTCATTAAGCAGCACCTTCACTGACTTAAATACCTTCAACTTCTTCAAAAATTTGACCTTAACCTCCGGATTTTCTCTCACGGAGAAAATTTCTTAGTTGGAATTTTGTTAATAACTACATTTTAATCGTTGGTCGGCCTCGGAATCGATATAAGACGATAATATCCGGAGTAAAATTAAAACGTTTGTCGGAACACAGATCCAATTACTAAAAAAATTGGTTGAAGGTTGTTTCGGTAGAACTTCCCTCGCCCCTGAAGTGCAGCGCAACCAGTGGGAAACAATTCTTTTTGAAACAATAATCGAAACATTGAAACACCGGAATGTTGGTAAAACGAGATATCGCGAAATGATGAAATTTTAAAAATTGAAAAATAAAAAAACTGAAAACCAAAAATCGAACAATCAAAAAAATATATACAATTTAAAGAGACGGAAAATTAAAACTCTAAAAATTTAAAATTCTAGAAATTGAAATGTTGAAAAATCGAAAAGCCGAAAAATTTTAAAACTCGAAGAACCGAGATGTTGAGAATTTGAAAATTCGAAAAATCGAAAAATTGAAACATGTATTATTAAGAAATTTAAAAATCGAGAAACAGAAACATCAACAAATCGTAAAATTCAAAAATTTAAAAATTTAAAAATTGACAAATCGAGATGCTGAAAAATCAAGAAAACGAGAAATCGGGAAGACGAAAGATCTAAAATTTAAAAAAATTAAAAACTGTAGGTAAAGTAGGTATCGAGAAATTGAAAACTCCAGAACCCAAAAATCGAAAAATCGAAACATTGAAAAAGTGAAAAACTGAAACATTGGGAACATGAGATATGAAAAAATCGCGAAATGGAAAAATTTTGAAATTGGAAAATTGAACAATCGAATAATCGAAACGAAAATTTCGATAAATCGAAACATTGAAAAATTAAAAAATGTCAAATTTAAAAAGTCCAACAATTCGAAAATCGAAAAACTGAAAAATAAAAAAAAAACTAGAAGTCAAGAAACCGAAAAACCTAAGATTTAAAACATCGAAAAATTGAAATGTTGCAAAATCGAAACACTGAAAAATTGGAAATATTGAAAATTAAAATACCGAAAAAGTTACAATTCCATAAATTGAAACATTGCCAATTTGAAATGCTGAAAAATTGAGATATTGAAAATTAGGAAAATCGAAAAGTCGAAAAATTTTTAAAATCGAAGAACCGAGATGTCGGAAAATCGAAGAACCGAGATGTCGGAAAATCGAAAGATCGAAAAATTAAAAAACTGAAACATTTACAAATCGAGAAGCTGAAGAATAAAAAACAACTGAGAAATCGGGAAGAACAAAAATCTAAAATTAAAAAAATTAAAAAACTGAACAAGATATCGAAAAACAGAATACTCGAGAAATCAAAAAATGCTAAAAATGAAATGTCCAAAAATTGAGAAATCGAAAAATCGAAAAGAGGAAAAATTGAAACCTCAAAAATCGAAAATTCTAAAAACCTAAAAAGACGAAAAATTAAAATTGCCAAAATTCGAAAAATCAAAAAAATAAAACACGAATTTAAAAATTTTAAAATCGACGTAAAGGAAACGTCAAAAAACCGTAAAATCGAAAAATTTAAAAAATTGAAAAATTGACAAATCGAGAAGCTGAAAAATAAATAAAAAACTAGAAATGGGAAAGACGAAAAATCTAAAATTTAAAAAATACAAAAACTAAATTAGGTATCCAACAATTGAAAACTCGAAACATTGAAAAATTCTAAAATTGAAAGGTCCAAAAATTGGGAAATCGAAGAATTGAAAAATTGGAAAATCGAAAAATCGAAAAAACATGAAAAGATTGAGAAATGGAAAAAAGGGAAAATCGGGAAACTGAACAATCGAATCGAAACATCGAAATCTCAATAAAATTGAAAAATCAAAAAAATGAAAAATAAAAAAACACTAGAAATCGAAAAATTGAAACGTCGAGAAATTGAAAAATGAAAAATCGTGAATTTGAACAATCGAAATGTCGAAATTTCAATAAACCGAAAAATGTAAAATTGAAAGATCGAGAGATTAAAAAAAAAAAATTAAAGGTCGAAAAATTTTGTATGTCGGAAAACCGAGAGGCCGAGAAATCAAAGTTTCGATAAATCGAAAAATTGAAAAATCAAGAAAAAACTAGAAATCGAGAAGTCATCTAAAATTTAAAAAATCCAATAATGGAAAAATCGAAAAATTTTAAATGTCGAAAAACTGGAAAATCGAAATATTGAAAAATTCGAAAATCGAAAAATCGAAACATCAAAAATCGAAAATTCTAAAATTCAATTAAAATTCCAGAAATTGAAACACTCCCGAAAAAGAATTCAGAAACTCGAAAAGTCCAAAAATTAAAAAAATTAAGAACCGCGATGTCAGGAAATCGAATACATATTCGAAAAGTTGAAAAAATAAAACGTGAATTAAAATTGACAAATTGAGAAGCTGAAAAATAAAAAAAACAAGAAATTGAAAAGATGAAAAATCTAAAATTCAAAAACTGAAAAACTGAAGTAGGTATCGAAAAATTGAAAACCCGATAAATTGAAAAATCGCAAAATTGAAAAGTCCAAAAATTTGGAAATTGAAAAACTGATAAATCGAAACATTGAAAAACTGGAAATCGAAAAATTGAAAAATCGTGAAATTGAACATTCGAATAATCGAAATGTCTAAATCTCAATAAATCGAGAAATCAATACACTGAAAAATCGAGAAAGTAAATATTCGAAAAATTTGCAAATCGAAAAATGTAAAATCGAAAGATCGAGAAATTGAAACAATAAAAAATTGCAAAAACAAAAAATTAAAAAGTCGAAAAATTTTGAAAGTCGAACAAATGAGATCTCGAGCAATCAAAATTTCGTTAAATTGAAAAATTGTAAAATCAAAAATTGTAAAATTTAAAAAATCCAAAAACTGAAAAATCAAGAAAAATCGAATTGGAAAAATCGAAAAATTAAAATGTCGAAAAATTGAAAAATAGAAACATTGAAAAATTGGAAAATGGAAAAATCGAAAAGAGGAAAAATTGCAAGATGGAGTAATCGAAACATCAAAAATCGAAAATTCTAAAATTCACAAAAATAAAATACGAATTTAAAAATTTAAAAATCGACGAAATGGAAACGTCAAAAAAACTGTAAAATCGAAAAATTTTAAAAACTCAAAAATTGACAAATCGAGAAGTTGAAAAATAAATAAAAAACAGAAATCAAGAAGACGAAAAATCTAAAATCAAAAAAAATCAAAATCTAAAGTAAGTATCGAAAAATTGAAAACTCGAAGAATTGAAAAATACCAAAACTGAAATGTATAAAAATTTAGAAATCGAAAAATTTAAAAATCGAAACATTCAAAAATTGGAAAATTGAAAAATCGAAAAAACATGAAAAGATCGAGAAATGGAAAAAAGAAAAATCGGGAAACCGAACAATCGAATAGTCCAAACGTCGAAATCTCAATAAAACGAGAAACCGATAAATTGAAAAACTGAGAAAATAAAAATTCGAAAAACGTACAAATAGACAGATCGATGAAACAATAAAAAAAAGAAAAATCTAACAATTGAAAAGTCGAAAAATCGAGAAATCGGGAAAACGAAAAATTAAAGTATCGAAAAGGAATCGAAAGATCGAAAAGCGGAAAAATTCCAAAGTCGAAACATCGAGACGTCGAGAAATCAAAATTTCGATAAATCGAAAAATTGAAATATGTATTAAAAAATTAAAAAATCGGGAAATTGAGACATCAAAAGTTCGTAAAATCTGAAAATCGAAAAATGCAAAATTTAAGAAATCCAAAAATCGAAAAATCTAAAAAATGAAAAATAAAAAAAAGAAGCTAGAAATCGAGAAATTGAAAAATGTAAAACTTGAAAAAATTGAAAAATTGAAAATTTGTAAAATCGAAAAATTTTAAATAGGGAAAATCGGAGGAATACCGAGAAATTGAAAACTCGCAACTGGAAAATTGAGAAAAATGAAACAGAAAAATTGAAACATGGAAAGATCGAGCAATCGAAAAACTGCAAAATCAGGAAATCGATGTATTGAAAAATCGAAAAACTAAAAATTTGAAAAATGTACAAACCGAAAAATATAAAATTGAAAGATCGAGAATTTGAAACAATGGAAGATTGAAAATATAAAAATTAAAAAGTCGAAAATCGAGAAATCGAAAAAACGAAAATTCAAAGTATTGAAAAACTGTAGAATCGAAAAGCTGAAAAATTTTAAAAGTAGAAAAATCGAGACGTCGAGAAATCAAAATTTCGATAAATCGAAAAATTGAAATATGTCTTAAAAAATCGGGAAATTGAGACATTAAATTTTCGATGTCAAATTTAAGGAATCCAAAAATTGAGAAAAATCGAAAAACTGAAAAATAAAGAAAAACACTCGAAACCCAGAAATCGAAAAATTTAAAATTAAAAAAAAACGAAGAACTGAAAGGTCGAAAAATTGAAAAATCGAAACATTGATAATTTGGAAAATCCAAAAATCGAAAAGGGGAAAAATCAGAACACCGAGAAATCGAAAAATCGAAACATCGAAAAATTGAAAAAATTAGACATCGAGAAATCGAAACATGAAAAGATCGAGCAATCGAAAAATTGAAAAATCAGAAATTTAAAAAATTGAAAAATCTAAAGCCAGGAAGTCGTAAAAGATCGAGAAATCAAAATATAAAAAAGTTGAATAACCTAAAATTTAAAAATTCGAAAAATTGTAAAATATAAAAATTGAACAGAAAAAAACCGAGAAAACGAAAAACGAAAATATTGAAAAATTGAAAAATCTAGAAATCGAAGTATCAAAAAAATTGAAAAATTCAAAAATCGATATATTGATTAATAATAAAAAAAATACGTTGAAAAATCGAAAAATAAAAAAAAAACTGAAAATTCGAAACTGAAAAACTGAAAAATCTAATCATTCAGAAGTCGAGAAAAATGGAGACGTCGAAAAGTCGAGAAATTTGAGAAGTGGGGAAATAAAAAAATCGAAAAATCGTAAAGTCCAAAAGTCGAGAAGTTGAAGAATCGAAATTTGAAGAATCGAAAAATTGAAAAATCTAAAAATTGATTAATCCAAAAAAAGACGTTGAAAAATCGAAAAATTGGAAACAACAAAAAACTGAAATATAGAAATTGAAAAATTGAAAAATTGAAGGTTTGAAAAATTTGAAAAACCCATAACTGAAATTTTGAAAAACTGAAAAATCGAGAAAGTGAAAAATCTAGAACTCGATAGTTGAAAAATCGAGAAATCGAAACCCGAAAATATCGAAAAATTGAAAAAAAATCAAAAAACTGAAAAATCGAAATTGAAAACTTGAAAAACCGAATAATGGATTGAAAAACTGAAAAATCGAAAAATTCAGAAGCCTAGAAATCGAGACGTTGCAAAGTCGAAAAATCGAGAAATAAGGGAATAAAAAAACAAAAAATCGAAAAGTCCAAAAATAGAGAAGTCAGAGAGTTGAAATTGGAAGAATCGAAAAATTGAAAAATCTCAAAACTGAAATATCGAAAACTTGAAAATCGAGAAATCGAAACCCGAAAAATCAAATATTTGGAAAAATGAAAAATCGAAAAGTTGAAAAGAGGAAAATCGGAAAATCGAGAAATCGAAAAATCAGAAATTTAATAAACCAAAAAATCTAAAACTAAGAAGTCTTAAAATGGAAAGATCGAGAAATCAAAATATAAAAAACTGTATAATCAAAAATTTAAAAATTGTAAAATATAAAAATCGAAGAAATGAAAAATTGAAAAACCGAGAGAACGAAAAACGAAAAAAGATCGAAAAATTCAAAAATCGAAAAATCGAGACATCAAAAAAATCGAGAAGTCGGAGAAACAAAATTTGAAGAATCCAAAAATTGAAATATCGAAAATTTGAAAATCGAGATATTCAAAAACTGAAAAATCGAAAAATCGATAGTTGAAACAGCAAGAAATCGAAACCCGAAAAATTGTATTTTTTTATAGATTTTGATTTTTTCCAAAAATCTCAATAATCAATTTTTGGAGGCGGGCATGAACTGATAAATTTTGATTAAACGATTTGCCATGTTTCCGATTACCTTAAAACGTTTGCAAGATTTGTTTCTAAAAATTTGGATGTCTAGAGTAAACACTAAACACGGATTCATAAACCACAAGTGGAGGAGTAGGTTATTTTACAAAATTTAAATAGCATTTACTATTTTAAAATTTGGAGAAGATCGGACAAATTTTCGTTAGCGTGTTACATGATAGTCATAAGATTCCTAAGAAACGGCAGACCTACTATTTCGTACTTTAGGGATCATGAAGTAAAAAATTTCGTTTTTCCTTCAAAAGCAAAAAAAATCTTTCGTTAAGTATTCACGTGAACGAAACATTCGACAGGATAATTTTTTAACGAAAATTACACCTTCAGTGTGTCATTAAATAATCGTTACACGGTGAAAATTTATTCGTAGAATTGATACGGATCAAAGCACTAAAAATAACCATGTGACAAAATGTGGCGGAATAACGATTTCGTACTTTCGTCCGTCCGGATTTTTTGTTATGATAATTCTTGCGTGTCCTGTCACTTTTGAAAAGATTTTTTAAGCATGAATCCAACTCCTAAATATCACGAACTGTCTTAAAATTCGTGGTTGTGTCAGACATTTAATTTTTTTTAATGCTCAACCGTTCACCACTAACTACGGTATGATTTTAGGGAAGACATTTAAGGAAATAAAAATACGAGCTTGTATATGTGTTTTATTAAAAAAACTCCCACCTGTTGTGTTCGTGACATATAAAATTCCCTATATTGTTATATATTCAATTCAGTTGTTTTCAATGTGTGGGTGTAAACGTGGTTGAAAAAGGAACAACACAAAGCTGACATTTTATTAACGATAAACAATCAACAAACTCCACAACACAATAATAATAAAGTTGTTCTAGTTATCTTATCAGTGTGCATAGCAACCATTTTATTAATCAGAAACATAAAAGACAAAAAATCCGAGGAAGCGCGAAGCACAGAAGACTAAAATTGGTCACCCTTTATCAATCAGTATTGTCTTCAAGCCAACGCAGGTAACTTGGGTACTTTAAACCCGTCGACGGACTTGTGCTTAGCCCGCCGACTTCTTAACTGCTATCCATCCCGGATTCCCGGTTGCATCCAGATGTATCCCGTCGCCGTCATGGAGCAAAACGCGTTGTAGTACCTTCCCGGGGCCCTGCAGAACGACCACTCCGGGCACTTGCACCTAAACAGACTCTGGAACTCCTCCTTGCATACCTCGTTCCACCAGCACGTCCTCTGGAACAAAGGGAACGTGAACCGGTTTAGACAACGGTTGCTGTTGATGGTACCTCGGTCAAGTATCCGCTGACGGATTGGTCCGAGATGCTCCTCCTGCTGAGGAACCGCTGCGAGCTTTGGGCGATCAGCAGGAACGGCAGCAGGATCAACAGGCAGTTATTCTGGAATCAGTCACGTGTCAAACAACGTTCGGGACCGGTAATGAGCGACTCACCATCGATGAGATTTTGTACATTTCTGTTGGTGTTTGTGTGGGTATTGATCGGGCCGCGACGGGGCGGCGCCATCTGGCGGAAGGCCGGAGATGATGGTGGTATTTATCTCGGGTCGTATTGATTACGCATTAATGAAATATTAAGTGATTATGGGTCATCGGGGTTCGGGTTAATTGCAAGATCGATAGGGTTTGGGTAAAAATAAAGCGGGTTTGGGTGACCGCTGGATGGACACGTTGCGAAATTAGTCGAAGGTTGTTTTGATAGAACTTGCCTGGGTTCTGAAGCACAGCCCAACAAATTTCGCTTCTTTAGAAAATTTTAACAAAAGTTTTTCAATTTTTCGATTCTTTATTTTTTCATTTTTTCAAATTTTCTTTGTTTTTTCAATTTTTCGATAGTTCAATGTTCTGATTTTATAATTTTTTTGTTTTTCGAATTTAAATTTTCTTCAATTTTTCGATTTGCAATTTTACACTTTTCCATTTTATTTTGTTTCTTCAGTTTCACCATACCTAATTTTTCGAAATTCAATTTTTAAATTTTTCACCGTTTCGATCCGTTTCGGTTTTTTATTTTTTCAATTTTTCGGTTTTTCAATGTTTCGATTTTATCATTTTTTTTTACAAAATGAAATGCTGCAATTTTTGGATTTTTAAATTTTTCACTTATTTTTTTAATCTTTTTTTAATTTTAGATTTTTCAGTCTCTCGATTTTTTAACTTTTCGGTTCTTCAGTTTTTGATTCGCAATTTTCCTAGTTTTCATTTTAAATGTGTAATAATAATTAGACTTTTCCGTTTTTCAATTTTCGGCTTTTTAAAATTTTGGATTTTTCGAAATATCGGTGTTTCGGTTATTCTTTCTCGATTTTTTCATGTTTCGATATTTCAGTGTTTCAATTTTTCAGTTTTTCGAGTTTTTGTTTTTTCATTTTCTCGATTTTTCAATTTTTCCATTCTTCAGTTTTTCATTTCTTCAAATTTTCGATGTGCAATTTTTCGTTTCGGTTTTTTAATTTCTTCACTTTTACAAGTTTTCGATTTTTTTGTTTTTCCAATTTCAATTTTTCTATTATTTGCTATTTTACAGTTTTTCATTTTTTTTTGTTTCTTCAAGTTCACTATATTTAACTCTTCGAATTTCGATTTTACAATTTTTCCCATTTTCGACTTTTCAATTTTTTTTTTTTTAAATTTTTCGGTTTTTCGGTGTTCCGATTTTATCATTTTTCCTTTTTACAATGTGAAAATTTCCAGTTTTTGTTTTTTTTATTTTTTCGGTTTTTCAAATTTTAGTTTTTAATTTTTTTTTCAATTTTAGATTTTCAGTTTTCTGGCTTTTTCAGTTTTTCGTTTCTTCAACTTTTGATTTGCAGTCTTTCTAGTTTTCACTTTAAATATGTAGTAATAATTAAAATTTTTAATTTTTTTCTCGATTTTTCGGTTTACACATTTTTTGATTTTTTAGTCTTTCGATTTTTGAATTTTTCGATTTCGCCATTTTCCGTTATTTCAGTTTGGGGTTTTTGAATTTCTCGATTTTTACTACTATTTTTACTATTACTATTCTATTTTTTGATATATTAAATTTTAGATTTAAGTAATAATTACAATTTTTTTTTTCGATTTTACGATAATAATAATAATAATAATTTTATTCTACCCTTTAGCATACAATATAAGTACATTGGGTCGTCAAAATATTACATTTAGAAAATACAGACACACATACAGATTTCTGAGTTTTAGATTTTTCGGTTTTTAAATTTTTCGATTTTTCGATTTCTCGATGTGTTAATTATTCAATTTTTCCATGAGTGGATTTTTGGGTTTTGCGATTTTTCAATCTTTCGATTTCCCAATTCTTCGTCCTTCAGTTTTGTAATTTTTGCATTCCTTGATTTTTCAATTTTTTTATTCTTCAATTTTTTATTCTATTTTTCGATTTTATATATCTTTTTATTTCTCGATTTCTCGTTTATGGAATTTTCAGTTTTTCGATTTTTCAATTTTTCGATTTTTCTATTTTCCGATCTTTTGGTGTTACGATTTCCCGATTTTAAATTTCTTTAATACATATTTAAATTTTTCCATTTTTCGACATGTTTCGATTTTTCATTTCTGCAGTTTTTCGATTTTTCGTCTCTTCTATTTTTAGATTCTTCAATGTTTCGATTTCCCAATTGTTCGTCATTTCAGTTTTGGGATTTTTGAATTTCTCGATTTTTCAATTTTTCGATTCTACAATTTTTTATTACTTTATTTTTCGATTTTTTAAATTTTAAATTTTTTTGTTTCTCGATTTCTCGTTTTTGGATTTTTTCATTTTCTCGATTTTCAATTTTTCAGTTCCTCGATTTTTCTAATTTTTTAATTTCTCATTTCGTTTTTTATTTTTTTTCAATTTTTCGGTCTTTCAGTGGTTCGATTTTTTAATTTTTAAAACTAGAAATTTTATTTGGAATTTTTAAATTTTCAGTTTTTCAAATCCTTTCCTTTTAATTTTTTTTTTCAAGTTTAGATTTTCAATTTCCCGTTTTCTTTAATTTTTCGATTCTTCAATTTTTTATTACTATATTCTATTTTTTGATTTTTTAAACTTTAGGTTTTACTAATAATTACAATTTTTATTTTTTTTCGATTTTACGATTTCTCAGTTTTAGATTTTTCGGTTTTTAAATTTTTCGATTTTTCAATTTATCGAGATTTCGACGTTTCGGTTATTCGATTGCTCAGTTTCCCTATTTTTCAATTTCTCGATGTTCTATAAATTTTTCAATTTTTCCATGAGCCGATTTTTCGGTTTTTCGATTTTTCAATTTTTCGTCCTTCAGTTTTGTAATTTTTACAGTTCTCAAGTCGATTTTATATATTTTTTATTTCTCGATTTCTCGTTTTTGGATTTTTCGGTTTTTAGATTATTTAGTTTTTCTATTTGCCGATTTTTTGGTGTTTCGATTTCCCGATTTAAAAATTTTTTAATACATATTTAAATTTTTCTATTTTTCGATATCTCGGTTTTTCGCTTTCTAAAATTGTTCGGCTTTCGATCTTTCGACTTTTTCGATTTTTCATTTCGTCATTTCTTCGATATTTCGTCTCTTCTAGTTCGATTTTCCGATTTTCAATGTTTCGATTCTTCAATTTTTTGATTTCCCAATTTTTCGTCACTTCAGTCTTGGGAATTTTGAATTTCTTGATATTTCAATTTTCCGATTCTACGACGCTTTTTACTTTATTTTTCAAATTTAAAATTTTTTATTTCTCGATTTCTCGTTTTTCGATTTTTTTAGTATTTCGATTTTTCAATTATTTAATTTTTCTATTTTCCGATTTTTTGGTGTTTCGATTTTCCGATTTTTAAATTTTTGAATACTAATTTCAATTTTTCGGTTTCTCGACATCTCGGTTTTTCCCTTTTTAAAAATTTTCGGCTTTCGATCTTTCGACTTCTCGATTTTTCAAGTTTTCGATTTTTTAATTATTCATTTTCTCGATTTTTCAATTTTTCAGTTCCTCGATTTTTCTATTTTTTAATTTCTCATTTCTTTTTTATATTTTTATTTTTTCAATCTTTCGGTTTTTCAGTGGTTCGATTTTATAATTTTTTCATTTTCGAAACAAGAAATTTTATTTTTGAAATTTTTAAGTTTTCAGTTTTTCAAATTTCAACCTTTTAATTTTTTTTTTCAAGTTTAGATTTTCAGTTTCCCGATTTTTTTAATTTTTCGATTCTTCAATTTTTTTATTACTATTTTATTCTTTGTTTTTTTAAATTTTAGGTTTTACTAATAAATTACAATTTTTATTTTTTTTTCGATTTTACGATTTCTCAGTTTTAGATTTTTCGGTTTTTAATTTTTTCAATTTTGTAATTTTTTGATTTTTCGGTTTGTAAATTTTTCGATTTTTCGATTTATCGAGATTTCGACGTTTCGGTTATTCAATTGCTCAGTTTCCCTATTTTTCAATTTTTCGATTTCTTGATGTTTTAATTTTGCAATTTTTCCATAAGTCAATTTTTCGTTCTTCAGTTTTGTAATTTTTGAATTCCTCGATGTTTCAATTTTTCGATTCTTCAATTTTTTATTCGTTTTTGGATTTTTCAGTTTTTATATTTTTCTATTTTCCGATGTTTTGGTGTTTCGATTTCTCGATTTAAAATTTTTTTAATACATATTTCAATTTTTCTATTTATCTACATCTCGGTTTTTCGCTTTCTAAAATTTTTTGGCTTTCGATCTTTGGACTTTTTCGATTGTTCATTTCGTCATTTTTTCGATTTTTCGTCTCTTCTATTTCGATTTCCCGATTTTCAATGTTTCGATTTTTCAAGTTTTCGATTTCCCAATTTTTCGTCACTTCAGTTTTGAGATTTTTGAATTTCTCGATTTTTTTAATTTTTCGATTCTACAATGTTTTTTGACTTTATTTTTCGATTTTTTGAATTTAAAATTTTTTTATTTTTCGATTTATCCTTTTTGGAGTTTTTAATTTTTCGATGTTTCAATTATTCGATTTTTCTCTTTTCCGATTTTCCGATTTTTAAATTTTTTAATACTTATTTCAATTTTTCCATTTCTCGACATTTCGGTTTTTCGTTTTTTAAAATTTTTCGGCCTTCGATCTTTCGACTTCTCGATTTTTCAAGTTTTCGATTTTTTAATTTTTCATTTTCTCGATTTTGCAATTTTTCAGTTCCTCGATTTTTCTGTATTTTAATTTCTCATTTCTTTTCTTATTTTTTCAATTTTTCGGTTTTTCAGTGGTTCGATTTTATCATTTTTTCATTTTTAAAACAAGACATTTTATTTTTGGGTTTTTTAATTTTTCGGTTTTTCGAATTTCAACCTTTTAATCTTTTTTTCAAGTTTAGATTTCCAGTTTCCCGATTTTTTAATTTTTCGTTTCTTCAATTTTTGATTTGCAATCTTTCTAGTTTTCATTTTAAATACATACATATGTAGTAATACCTGTGGGTTGAGTTACCTATCAGGCGCGTCCCCAGTGTTGCGGATAGGGGGAGACCGGCATTGTCTGGGGAAGGGGGGTCTGGGGAGGGCGGATATGCCCCCGGGAAC